ACATTGCACAGGCAGGTTGCTCGTAAGCAGAGACGAGCCAACTTGCTTGTAAATGATAATAAGATTCACTTTTACCCCATCCGCTCTCAAACACGAGTCCAGTTATCACAATTGAAGAAGTAAAGCTTCTTATATTTTACAAATATTAAGAATGCCGTTACTCAGTGGAACGGATTTAGAATGATTTGATTTGCGAAATGTCTTCTGAAGGAATACCTTCTGGCGAAGTGTAGTTTCAAGCGCACAGATAACATGATTACTCCTTGTCGTGACAAGAATAATGGTATATATGATATGCTACAACTTAAGTAGCCTGCCCCGCGTCTCAAGTCAAGTTAAGTAACCTTCTCCGTAGGCCTATCTGTTCAAAGAGAGACTAAGCTCGCACCAAATTCTCATCACCTTGGGAAACGGTGATTTCAACTCTCAAGCGATATTTGCTGTAAACTTCGACGTGGCTTTGCTTTGAAATACTGTAAGATCTAAACTTGTGCCTTGAGAATGTTATCTACAAACCGGACGATGCTTGGAGACGTTGTGCTCTCTTGGTAAGACTCGTCCAAGATCACCAGCGTGAGAAACGCTCTCATACCGCGTGGCCAACACAACTCGCCAGAAGCGTTCGCTGCTCATTCCAGCGGTCCCCTAGCACGCAGCAGAGCACGTCAGGCTCACCTCTGTGCCAGCAGGGGGCGCAGCAGGGCCAGGGCGGTCAGTGTCAGGGGAGCCGGGCACAGCATGGCGAGACACGCGGCGGCACCAGACCGCACTGGTCCGGCCGGCCGGCCGCCGCTGGACTGCGGCCGGCGCGCGCGGCCCGGCGCCACGCACCGGCCCGGTGCGGCCGGCGCCGCCGCCGCCCGCCGCTGGCCGCATGGGGTCCGGGCGCTGGTGGGAACGCGCTCCTGTGGAGATGTGCTCAAGAGAGACTGCATTTCGGTGAAGATAGGGCTGTTGATGACACAGGACTCTCTCGGGTACAGATTTGCTGGACTTTGCTTCAAAATGAATAGCGATGACTTGGCTCTACTCCTGCAGACAGGACTGCTCTCGAGATGCCGGTCGCGTTGGACTGCACTTCTACGTGGGGAGGGCTGTCCTCTTGTGACGGTGTTCCTGTGAAGACTGTCCGAGACTATCCCCCAGTCTGGACTGTCCGAGACAATCCCCCAGTCTGGACTGTCCGGCTGGGGGAGCGCGAGCCGCTGCAGGTCTGTTCCGTCCCTGCATGACGGAGCTGCTCACTGAACATCTCCGCGAGTTGGACGTTTTGTTTTTCTCTGAGGAGAAGCTCGCGGATGCGCGCCGCTGCCCTGAACTGCCACCATCGTTCGTGGTGCTGTCAGTGCAGATTTTGTTTTCGGAAGAGAACTCTCCTGCACGTCGTCACGCACCTTTTTGTGGAGCGCCAGCGACTGCAGGGTCTGTTTGAACACCCGGGGGCATGCTGCAAACGAGGCTCGAACCCGGGCCCCCTCTTGGGAGCCGAAGGCACTAATTACTCGGTCGCTTCTTCCACTGATAAATGAAGAAATTGTAAGTCGAAAAAGAAGCTTAGCACGCGCACGGTTGGCGAGAAGAGGAGAGGGATTTCACCCATCCGTAGGGTTTTTTCCAGAACAGCTACCGAAGGGTGAAGCGTTGAGGCGCTCAATTTTTCACAGCTGTAGGCAGTTTCATGGACAATCTTTTGGTATAAGGAAACTGGATATACAATGAGAGATCGCTGACCTATAGCAGGTCGGAATCAAGACATGGCTGTCGGCGAAAAGATCTCCGCGAAAATTGTTCAGCGATCACTGAGCATGATGCCAACAGCTTCAAACATCGCAAGCAAAACTGGGCACGCTTCCAAAATAAAAGCGTTGAGCTCTCTGTTGTCTGCAGTTAATCTATCGTATTTTGCTACTGTCGAAAATAAAGCCGAGTTAATGCTATTATATCAAGATATTCCGAAGCCCCAAAAAAGAACACAGGGTAAACCGTTAGGCCAACTTGAATGACCAGCTAGTTGGTAACAGCACAAAATCCAGAAACCATTGCAACAGCAAGTTATTGAACGTGAATCTGCTTTTAGCAGCTCAAAAACCGAGAAATAATGAACAGATCGTCGTAAGAAGAGTAGATAAATCCAATATATTTGCCATCATGGATAAAGCTTCCTATCAGAGTAAAATGAACCATCTCCTCTCTGACACATGCTATTTCACCCGCATCACGAGGATACAACCAAAAGCCTGCCTACGAAAGCCAACAGCCTGATAACCGTGCTAAACGCCTCAGTGGGTCGGCAGCCCTTCACAAAGGTCACAGGTGAATATAGTTTGGTTACGTCTACGATAGCGTGAAAACTCATGACACGGACAACCCGCTGAGAAAAAGCATGCCTCAGATCCCCACGCGTACCTATCAGTTGGCAAAAGCTTTAAATGGCCTGATTGAGCCCTACACACTGGCAGAGTATAGCTTCGAAGTCAACAGGACAGCCCACTAACATTATGAAGTCTAAAAACCCGCTGGTTTACTTACTTCATTTAACTTCACATTACACTTACACACTTTTGTACTTACACTTTACTTACACTCACACACTTTACACACTTACTTCACATTAGATGAAGAAACTCTAGGTCACAAAACGTGCCTGTTGATAAATCAATCCAGATTATACTGACCTGCGTCTACAATGACCCAATCTCGCCACCATTCAATCTGTCACGATCTATCCTTGAAAATTTTTCGATGCTGCACCAAAGAGACATCATAACGTTGTTCAAACGAAAAAAACTCTACCACCAAGTAGATGGTGTCGCAACAAGGCCACTGCTTGAATGCCTGTCTGCGAATATGCACACGTACTAGCTGGAGAACCGTGTTCCCAAAAACCCTGAACCTTAAATCACACGCATTCTGCAGTCGATGACATATTTGTTGATGTCAGAGACAAGCCCATCTCTGCCAACCGCGGGCCACAAAGCAGCGGCAATCGTTATTACGATTTACACCGGACCTGAGTGACGACAACCATTTGTCATTGTTTGCTATGGACGTGGATGCCAGTAACGGATCTTTCGTCACGACATTGCACCGTAAACCTACTGATGCTGGCAAATGTATGAACGCGGCTAGCGAATGCACGGAACGTTGCCGCACGGTCATCATCCGTTCGCTTGTAGAACGCGCTCCAAAAGTGTTGCCCCAGCTGGTCCAGCAGGAGGGAGCGTTAGACAGGCACATGTGTAAAACCAACCATCGAAAGCTGCTACGCTCTGACCTAACTAACAACCACTGATTTTAGAATCGTGTCCAAACAAACGCCGTTTTCAGTGTCTGAAAGTCATCCTCACCAGGAAAAGAACGCCTGACTTAAGCAAACAACTTAGGTCATGCATCACTTTGGACCCGTTCAGTCACCCAATGACAGCATGGTGACTCCATGTCTTAACTTGCCGTTCCAGGTCTTTAACTTGCCGAAGTGTCAAACTGTCTGGAAAAGTGATGTGTGTGTGTGTGTGTGTGTGTGTGTGTGTGTGTGTGTGTGTGTGTGTGTGTGTGTGTGTGTGTGTGTGTGTGTGTGTGTGTGTGTGTGTGTGTGTGTGTGTGTGTGTGTGTGTGTGTGTGTGTGTGTTTGTATGCGTCTTGTAATTTGAGCCGACATGTGGATGTATATTCTGCTAAATGATAGTTCACGATTTAATGATCATGCCCCGTAGAGCATGCCTCGTATTTCGCCATTTTCGAATTTTTCCCGATCGACTGTCTCACCTTGCTTTGAGAAGGGCAAACCAATGTTATTGAAACGTTGGCTGAACCACAAACGACCTTCAAAAACAGCCTAGCAATCAGACCGTGCTCGCTCAGGAAGGATCTCCCCAAACAGGCAACACTGAATTTGATTATAATTTGCATCAAGCGCATAGATGAAGCTTTGCTGAAGTTCGAGCCTGCGCTTGCTTGGCCTGTGTCTTACGAAAATTGGTGGTCGGTACTTGACGTGATATGATGACTAACACAGCGCTGTTGGTTAAATTATGGATCATGCAACTAACATAAATTTCAGCGGGATGGAACACCTGAGCCACTCGTCTGGCCCTTCTGAGCGTTCCAAAACTATTTGAGAGCTATCTCACTTAACATTTGCGGACATTAAGTTCACAGTCCCTGTTGACGAGCATTTTCATGTGAACATTGGTGAGAACGACCTCATTTAACTGCTATTCTCGCCGGCGACGCCACGTTCCAGCTACAGCTCTGGCTGTCCTCAGGTGGCCTCGGATAGTGGATGACGGCCGAGGGCGGACAAGGACGAGCCTAAAGAGATTTATGCATGACGTAAAGACATGCGTATATATGACCCATGGAAGGCTTTGGCATCCTCGGAACTCGAGGCCAGAAACTCATAATTTCCGACTAACACCCTATCAGTCTACAAAGGAAACCGCAGCCGAATGTCTGATGCTTTAGAGCTTTAGATAAGCAACTCATCACATTGTGGATTGGAACTTTGTAGCGGCCATAAACTTTCGAGCGTCATAAACAATTATGCATTCATGACACGTAAAGGCCACGTATGTATGTGGAGTGTCAGCTGACATGTAAAAAACAAATGCAAAGAAGGCGCCAAACAACCTTCGTCCAAATCCGCTCGGCCCTTTCCCAGGGCCCAATGACCCTTCATAGCGTCTGAGGCGCAGCATTTACACATCAATCACGTCATTGTCTTGGCAAGCATTCACCCTCCTATCGCGTAACGCCCAACCACTGAAGGCGCAACGCATGCAGAAGCCTTTTGCGATACCGTCCAATCCAACCCAAGCCTTGTAGCATGCACCTGAAGGCAATCGACGCGACATGATTGCCCCGCTTGGCCTCTTGTATCGACCCGGGCATGTCTCGAGCCCAGCTTAAACTGCTGTGCCTGTCCTGAGCGATTAAGACCTCGTGAGCGGGTTCCAATGCCTTATCAGCTTACTGGCGCTAGCCTTCGAGCAAAGACTGAATACATTACTATTTGTTTATTCGTTTGTCTACCATAGAAACACCCGTGCCCCACATGCACTCTACCCTGGCCAGTAGCCAGTAGCCGTCCACTGCAGCTGGCGAATGGCAAAGGGCACTTCAGCTGGGGGATCGCACGAGGACACCACGGCTGGGAGACCGCACGAGGACATCACGGCTGGGAGGCCGCACGAGGACACCACAGGTGGGAGACCGCACGAGGACACCACAGCTGGGAGACCGCACGAGGGCACCACGGCTGGGAGGCCGCACGAGGTGACCACGGCTGGGAGACCGCACGGGGGTAGTGCAGCTGGGAGATACTGCACGAGTGTCAACATTCGAGCGTGATCCTAGATCACTCGCGTTGCTGAAACGAAACCAGAGGGAAGGCTTAACATAAGAGCAGCGCCCTCTAATGACCCTACAGCTTACTTGCAGTTTCTGCTTTACCGATAGGTGTCGGTAAATTCGGTTCCCGCACACCACGATTTTCACTGCAGTCTTCAGATGCTTGACATTCCACACCGTCACACTTTAATATCAGGGCTTTGATCCTGAACTGGAACTGCCTGGCGAGCACTGCATGTGCCTTATGATACATCCACAGGGCACCACTCTCCACAGGAGGCCAGTGAGGGCGGACACCAAAGTGGCTTACGTAAGGTTGAAGTTTTGTCAAGCACCAGAGTCCAGTTCATCCACCGTCACAACATATATTGTTAACAGCACCACGGAAGATGCGCGGCGCCCGTTTCCAATGGTTCCGGGCGGATGAGCCTGGGCCCCGTACGCGGGCCGACCGTGATATGTCCGCCAACTGCGGCGGAGGAGCTGCGAGGAGCGTCAGAAGTGCCCTCGCGCGGTCCGATACTAGCGCCATCTTTACTGAAGGCAGCAGGCCGGCTTGTTGCCGTTCTTCACCTTCAGCCGAGACCTTGGCCGGTACTTCTCGAGGAACTGGAGCTGCTTAGCGTTTATAGCTCCCCTGCGCTTCCTGAAACAAGAGCGCACGGTGAGCTAACACGACATGCGGAGAGCAGCTGGTGCAGCTCAGGTAATGACTGCGACAGTTCGGCGACCAACACGCTGTGTCCTGCTCCCCATTCACAGGTGATGACGGGGCAAATCGTGGATTTTGTGTTGCGAAACCTCTTATAACTTCCATGCATCGTTGAAAAGCTTTCCATGTATACAAAACGGACTCATGGATCATTCCCTCCCGCGCGACTGAATGCGCAAATGTGTGGCCTCCATGCACATTGTGTATTGAGGCGTGACATGAAACCCATTGTGCATTACGTTCCTGTTGCATTGTAAGAAATATTTTTCTCATCCACGACGCGGATTTGGCTACGGTGGCCGCACCTTGGAGCACGTCAGGCAAGCTGGACAAGGGCATTGCATTCCAGGGGAAATATAATACAGGAAACAGCTTCTCCTCCCCGTGCGGTACAGTAGCAATGCCCCTCGCGGCACCACTAACAAAATAGCTAAAAAGACGCCCTTCTAAGCATCAGCCTTGCATGATGATCATAGAAAGTGAAATTCAAGGTAGTGAGCTCAAGAAGTCCACGAAGTACAGTTACTGCACAGCTTCGGGCAGCGTTCAGACCGCAAGGACACTGGACAAGCCGCGCAGACCAGCGACTGAAGGCCGGAAAACCGCAGAACACGGGCTCGAGCCCTCCCGCCCGCTCTTCAGGTGAAGGCTGTGCGGACCGGTCGGGCCGCGCCGTGGCCGATCCCCCGGCGCCGGCCGAAGCCCGCACGCCGTGGCCGATCTCCCGGCGCCGGCCGAAGCCCGCACGCCGTGGCCGATCCCCCGGCGCCGGCCGAAGCCCGCACGCCGTGGCCGATCCCCGGCGCCGGCCGAAGCCCGCACGCCGTGGCCGATCCCCCGGCGCTGGCCGAAGCCCGCACGCCGCGGCCGCTCGCCACGCCACGCCGAGCTCGGGGCGGTGCGCGGCACCGCGCCCGCCGGCGCGGCCACTGGGTACAGCTCCAGGTGCCGCACCCGACACCCGATCGGCGCGGGCTCGAGGGCGTCCTCCCAGACCGGCCCGACCCGACACCTAACCACAGCGCCGCCGGCGGTGTCCGTCCGGCGGCGCTCAGGTCCGGCGCAGGGTCCAGACGAGACGCTGCTCTGCCAGACGGAGTTCATCGCACAGCGAACCGGCCTGCCGCTGACCCGGACTGAGCAGCGGAGTGATGTCGGGCCGTCAGGTGGACGCGGCTGAGGATCAGCATCATACCTCCCCCCCTCCCCCGTGGCCTGCGCCCCAGCCCACATAGAACTGCTGCTGCAGGGGGGTCATGCCTAGATAGCTCTGAGCCATCTGGCCGTGCACCGTCTAAATCACACGCTGCCCACGTGGCCCACCACCCACAATTGCCGTCTCGTGGGTACTAGCACAGGCGTCATAACAGGAGTAGGAGGTCGAAGGAGCCATGGCTGAACTTCTTACGAAATCTTAGTACCAGTTAATGGTGACGCACGGAAAAATGACGCAATGGGTCGGTTATCTCCTTCCCCGCGTTTCGGTACGTCTCTACACCCACGCACGTAAGAGATGGAGTCCAGGCGTGGCGAGTCAAAATTTTAGAGAAGAATTGAATTGCATGACGAACGGCCCAGTGCGCTCGTACGTACGTAAGAACATTATGCACGCTCTTTGTACGCCGTATCTACATAGCCCCCAATGATTCTGTAGTCACTCTTGCTCACAACAACCGACGCGTGCTGTTGAACACCGTCCTGTCCGTGAGCAATGGTGCGCTTTTAAAGCGGCGAGTCTTCCCAGCGTTGACGGACCATACAGCCCCGAGACACGATTAATGAACCAGGGTGGTGAAATATTGGGTGCCAGCCCACCGTGCTGGGCCGTATTGTCAGCCGACATGGGTACAGTGTTGGGTACGGTGCGTTGCGGGCTGGTGGCGCATACTTCGCCCCCATCTCCCCCCCTCCCCCCGACAACAGGAGCGGATCCAACTGGAGCAGATCCCCTCCTCCGATCAGTGCAAACAGTACCATCTAACCGTTATCTCCGCCAAGTGGTGAAGACGGGGTCGGTTTGCTAATCACGTCAGACAGGTAACAGGCGGTACTGACGGTCCGGGACAAACCTGAATCGGCAAGCGCCATCGCCTAAGCCCAGATAGCGGGCCCGAGTACAACACTGCCGCCATAGCACGCCCATGAGCTCGTGATTCACAATGTGCCTCGCCCAGGACGTGTATTCTATACAGCACGCCCGTCCATCAGCACCGCCCATCGAACAGCGGTCGCCCAGTGCAGACAGCCTGCTATGCCGACCGATGCCGCGCAGTACTGATCGAGCCGACCACCTGCGGCTCGGTGGCCACCACCGCCACGGAGACGACGCCTCGAACAGGCCGCCGCCTGACCCGACTGCCCAGGACGCGCGGTCTCTGCGGTTTTGACTTTTGGCACGTGTGACGGCCTGCCGGGCACAGGACTCGCAGCAGGATATCGCGTGATGGAGGCCAGTGACGTCAGCGGCGAGCACTCCACGGCGCCGGAAGCGGGGAATTTGGGCCGATAGCGCCCACCAGCCACCCAACGTGGCGTTCCACAGAAGGCAAGTCAGCGTGCAGTGACCCGGGAGAACGCCAGGCGCGCTCAGAACCGCCGGATGCGACTCTCCTGGAACTGAGACACGGCGGCCTGGGCGGCGACGGAGCGACGCGAAGGCGTCAGCACGTCGATGGGCCAACAATGACGTCGCCGGTGCGCCGATGCTAACGTGTAAACTACAAAAGAAAAAAATATCCCCGGCATGTGCGAAGACAGTGGACGGCATATGCCATATCCCGCATAAGTGCCACACATGAGTATTTGGCTCACGTGGCGGGACGTAAGTGCAACAATAACGACCAGCTCACACTTCTGTTGGAATACGCCTCAACATCGGCCATCTCTGCGGCTGCAGATAGCGGCAATACGTACTGTCTGATGAGCTCGACGGCGTCCTCATACTTGAGGCCGAGTTCCATGAGCGCGAGCGCCACCAGAACGGGCGCCCGCCCCAGGCCGGCCACGCAGTGCACGGCCACGCAGGAGGAGGGGTCAGCTCGGACCTGGTCACGCACCAGCTCCAGCCAGTCGGTCACCACCTGCAACGGCGGCAGCTCGGTCTGATCTAGTGCTGTACCCGCACGGGATACTCAGACACCACTCCGTAACGGTCCGTGGTCTCCTTAGCAGCGTGGGTTTCCAAGGCGCTGGACGGCTGACCCGGTCGGGTCAAACCCCATCAGCGATCACAGACACTCAGCAGCGAACGAGTGCACAATTAGCCCCACCCACCACTCTGCCCTCCACAGCTGGTCGATGCCAGACATCGGCAATCATGACAACAGAAATAGCAAAACATAGTGACAGGAACTAAATCAATCAACACAGTGACGGTCATCAACCAAAACGTGCAAGTGACCAGATCTCTATACACCTGATCGGATCGGATCGGATCGGATCGGATCGGATCGGATCGGATCGGACCGGACCGGATCGGATAAACTCGGATCGACTCGGATCGGATCGGATCGGACCGACCCAAACCGAACACCGAGCCGAGCCTTTCACATCACGACAGGACAGAGCAACACCGGACCAGATTGAGCCGGAGCAGAGGAAAACACCGGCCCAGACTGAGTCGTTATCTGTCTGCACGTACCTGGGCCGGCGGGTAGTGGCCGTCGTCGAACACGAGGTCGGTGACAGGGATGCCCTCCTGCTCCAGCAGGTCGGTCTTGTAGCTGGGCTCGCAGACACGCACCACCGAGCGGGCGTTGTGGCGCTTCAGCTCCTGGCGACGGCACACAAGGACCAGTCAGAGTCACGCTGGCAGGCGGCCCGGGGCCACGTGACGCGTCTCGGTAGAGACTGCCGCAGTTTATGGACAACGGAGCGCGCAGCGAGCCTGACTGGACACAGGCGCCGGGGTCGGGGCCGCACCATGCGTGTGTCCGGCCACGAGGGGTACTACTGGAATCAATCCGCGGTGCGGGGTAGGACAGACACCTTACACCCGCAACGGCGCAGCGCCAGTCAATCCCAAGAAGTGGCTCGACACTGGAGCGCGTGTAGGGAATTTTCATATCGCGCGACTACGATATAATGCAGCAAGTGTAATCTAAAACTGACTTGGTGCAGCGCTTTCGATGGTTCAAAGGGTGGGGGTGAGGGGGGGGGGGCTTGGCACATTGACTTGACGTTTTCATTTCCTTCTCAGAAATGCCGGCTTAAGTCAACGGATAAGATCTACCGGTGGCAGCCAAGGGATGTCCCCTCTTTTGAGGCACAGGAACCGCATATTGGGGAGACGTTGGTCAGGCGAACAACAAAAATAGAGGAAGTTGGATCGACTCGGTCCAAAAAACACCACGAAAATGGATTGGCTGTGATTGAACACAATGCATCTGGGTCTGATCATATAATTATGTTACCGCTGACAACGCCTGACGTCACATCATGGGTCCGTGAGAGACCAAACCACATGCCGTCGCATTCAGCGTTGACGCCCGGAATAATTTATGTCGCAGCTTTCCACTAAGACGGCCATCCCATGTCACAATAATCGTGCACAGCTGTGTTCCTCTACGCCCTGCCGGGACGCCGGAACTGCCGGGACAAGCCTTATCCCGTCAGATCGATCGATACGGAGCCTGCCGTTCAGCGATCGTCACGAATGGAACAGGTGTTGCATCCGGCATTCCTGCAAGTCATTTGTCTGTCCATTCTTGATGTACGTGACGCACGCGAATCATTTTATTGCATACCGTTTGGTTCGGACAATGCAGCTGGAGCACAACATTTCACCAGCCGATATGTCAGATATAGGGCGTTTTTTTCTAGCTGTTGCCGCCGGCCCGCGGCCGTAGAGATACGACCGATAGCCTTGGACAGCCAGCACCAGATTCCATTCCAGCGACATTGAGTAAGTTTACATGACATGATGTGGGGGTTGAATTTGAATTGTTACAACCTTGTTGGTTACAACCTTGAATTGGAGGGGGCAGAATTTCCAGCGTGTCTCTTTGACATAATGGGGACTGGGCTTCCTCACAGGAGACTTCCCCGGCGAGACCTTCTAATCCCCTTGAGTTTGGGCGGGAAGAGGGCAAATGTACCCGCATTGCCACATATCCCTACTTGTCAAAACCACACCTACCGCACCTCCTTCATATGGAGAATTTAAACCAGTGTTTCTAAAAAAGGAGTTAAGAGAGGCAAATGATGCTTCATTTTGGTATCATGAAAGGCACTGAAAGCACGTAACGAGCGCCGGTCGCGAAAAACAGGTGAGCTGTTGTTCATGATTCGAGCCGTTATACATTGATGATTAGCCAGCTATGTAACGGCTGTAGGCAGATACCTATCGATTTACCATTAGTTGCGTGCATTTGCATGTGTTCTGAGAGCAGACCAACTGGATGGGACCTTCGTCTGCTTTTAAGAAGGCATCTGAACGCTCAGACCATCTGAGGTGGACGCCGGCCCGACCTCTTGAAGAGCGACGACCCGTTGATGTGCCCGGTAACATCCGTCTCACGTGCATGACGCGAAATCAAACAAATAACTAAACGCGACGAATTCCATGTGGTCGTTCCTGTCACACAAAACATTACTCTTGCCCAGGAAAGAAGGTCATGTCAGTCACGCGGGCTTCATTCTAGGATCTAAGCTGGCGTGGCTCCGGTTTAAGCACGCGCAATATTGTCACCATGTCTGGGGAATTTGGGGAGTGGAGAGAAAACTGTACACCGCGGCGCGGGTGAAAAAAATATGGCACGGTTACAAGTTAAACAAGGGGTAGAATGATCAGCTCATTTATGAATTCCGGACCTTCAAATCAAGCAAAAGGCCTCCTAATCCCAAAACGGCCTGCTGATCTGGAACAGGGGTCTCCTGACCCGGAATAGGAGCCTCCTGGTGTGGAACGGGGGTTTCTTGGTCCGGAACAGGGGTCTCCTGTTTCATAAAGGGCCCTCCCAAGCCAGAAAAGATTCTCCCGAGGACAAAAAAATTCACCGGATCGCTGACTAAACCACACAGGAGCCACTGATTCAGAAAAAGACCTTTTCATTACGCTTCCTCTATCTGAACTTTCGTAACATATGCGTATCTGTCAAGCTTATAGTCCGCGTAGAATGGGCCTCTCCATTTTTGGGGGAAAACATACTCTTGTTCCTGCCTGCCAACAGAAGACAGCTGCACCCTCCCTGCCCCCCCCCCCCCCCCTTCCCGCTGCGCTGCCCTGATAGCGCATGGCGTATGGAGAGAGTGAGAGACAGCGCGAGAGAGCGAAGGAGCAGTGTAGCGTGGCGTGAGACCGCCACGTAGCGGTGAGCTGGCACCTGGCCAGAGGGCAGAAGCCCGACTCGGCGCGGCCACCGCTGCGCTGCACCAAACGGATCAGCATTCACTTTCAGATGCTGTCCGGCCCGGCGTCTGCCCACGGTAAAGACGGCTGACTGAGCTGACGCTGCCCACGTATGGCTGTGCGGTCGTGACACGTCCTGCTTAGCGTGTCATCTGAACCCAAAACCGTCGGCGTGAGGTATTCGGAAAACTTTGCACCGGAATATAATTAAGAACAGTTTATAAATAGCCTAGCATATGAACAGGCCGGCGTCCCCTAGTCCCGTTGCGTCGAAAAAAATTCAAGTTCGGTTTCGATCGCACTGAATTCAAAACGTTATCCCTAACTGGGTATGCTAGAACTCTCGGAGCAAGACTGCTCAAAACGTGGCAGAGAATGCGGTTTTCTCCATTCACCGTAACACAACCATTCAGCATGACCAAAATACAGGCCACCGCTGAGACAGGCTAAGCCCGAGCATTGCCGGTATAGGTGGGGCTTTAATCGGCCTAGCTGTCCCATTCGGTGGGCTTTGTAAAACAACGGTCGACGGATTTCGCAAAACCGGTGTGGGGATGGCAAACGGCACTGTCTCGGGCTGATTCATCTGTCAGGCGGCACCCTAAATACTCACTTATGAAATTTGGGTCACTTTTTTCCCAATTATCATTCAACCGTGGCGAAATTTTAAGAATTGTTCATTCGTAGTCGCATTGATTCTTTGGTCGATTTGTTTTTCATAAGCATTTCTCCTGGAGCTTGGGAGGCTGTCTGCAATGCTGGTAGGACTGAACTGCAAGTAAGGGGGAGGGGCGTCCAACTAAATGTCAACTGAACTCTGGGGCAGTCTTCCTTCCAGATAGTGTCGAATCAAGCGTCACCACAGCCTCTTTTCTGGTTGCGTCGAAAGATGTCATTATAAATTAGGAATAAAATGTGCATTAATCGCTCATTTTGGCAGGATATTTTCAAAAAAAAACCTTACGGCAGCATCTGCTTAGGTTGGTTTTTCAGATTACATAACATTTGGCCGAAACTCCAAAAATCCTTTCCAAAACAGACGAAACAAGGGGTTGGGTACTAACAGAAACTGACCACTTCCTTTATCCTTGCATAACTGTCAAGTCAAAAAATGCTATGACGTTCGTCACCAAACCTCGTTCGCTGTTTCTCTAGCTGCATTTTTGAGCTTCAAGGTCTTCCAGCTCACGTTCACGTATTTCCAGCGTTTCTCAAATTCGAGGTGCGATCCATACGCGTTGTGCAAAACTAAAAGGTCTCTGTGTGATTTAAATACTGAGGTCGTGGCCAAGTGCCCTAACAGCCCAAAGTTTCCCAACCAATTCGTGTGCATTTAAGTGTGCGTGCACAAACACACTTCAAGGCGGACTATATCTTTTCAACTGATCGCCATGGATGGAGAACCGCAGAGCTGTCACCATATATCTGCATGAATGAATACGAGCATTGCTGTTTCCGGTGGCGATTTAAAATGAATATGTAGATGCATGAATGGTATCCTAATAGTTGGAGGGCACCGACACGTCAAGGGTAGTAAGGAAAGCTTTCCTACCCTTCAAACCACAAGCTGTTATGATCTTGACAACTCTGACCTCCCATCCTGGTTCACCAATTGAACGAGCGGTTCACGACTTGTCATGGTGTCCACACGTTTCCGTGTCGTGAACGTCATGTCAGCCATAAATCATTTTGTGTATCGGGTATAATCAAAGCAGGATCGAATCGATTCTGATGATGTAGTTAACTAAGAAATATTAATTCCACATACGATTCAGCTGAGCAGCTAATGCGGCGGAATCCGATTCCGATTCCGACCAAAACGGTACCGATTCCGGAGTCCAATTTGATTCCTTTGGAGTTGAGCACAAGTCTGATCAAAAGCGGGACAACGGATTGGCCAAGAAGCCGACGTAGCCGCGCTCAAGTTCAGCCGAGTCGCGCCTGGTTCTGTCGTCCCCCGCACAGTTAGCGCCGGAGTTATGGGAGAAAGGCTGGCGGAGCCCCGCGTGACGTCAGACCACCCAGAGCCTTGCACCCCTCCCCTCCGGTCGTCCCGCAGAGCAAGTCATGGGCCCGCGAACATGTGGTGAGACATCACGGACACAACCGCGTGACGACACGGACACCACCACTGCCCGCGCCTTGCGGAATGGGTGAACGGGTTGGGTGGGGCGCCACATGCCCAGCGAGCGCCGAAACGGGCGTTTGCGAGACGCGCGGCCAGCCCCCGAGAGGGCAAATCCGAGGAATATGGGTGCATGATAAATGGACAACTAGCCAATCTGCGTTCGACATCTATTAAAGAGTGCGGCATCTTAACCGAATCACGCGGTAGCCGCGTAAAACAGCGTACTGCCGACCAATTTCCGGTTTATGGGTATACTCCTCGGTCCTATCTCCGCTCCGCCTCTATTTTCGTCCCTTGACCGCGATTGCGTCAGGTTTTGGTGCTGCCCGCCGGGGCCAGGGATGCCGCGAGAGTCGCGTTTATGGTGACCCAGATACAGCCCGGCGTTTCGACACGGCGGCCCGGGCCGGCAGGGGCCGTCTGCGCGGTAAACACGAGGGGACGGTCACATCCAGCCGACCAGCTGCGTCCGTTGTCCCAACACACACACACACACACGCGCGCACACGTACCTCGACATAGGCAGGCGCACACGTACCTCGATATAGGCAGGCAGGATGGCCTCTGTGGGCCGGTCGGTGATGAGGAACCTCACGCTTCTGAACTCGATCTCGGAGGGCGCCGGGCGACTGCTCTTGCCCTTCATGTTGTTCATGACACAGGCGCCGAGGCGCGACGGAAGCACGGCGGCGCGACGCTCTCAGTCCGCGGCACCGGACCGCGGCGGCAGGCCTGGCGGGCCCGGCGGGCGGCGGCCGACAGCGACTCTCCTGTGCGACTCTGGCCGGCCTCAGCCCATGGGGCGCGCCGGCGGGCGGCGGCTGGACGGAGCTGCGGACGGGCGGCGGCGGCCAACGGCTTACTTGTGCTGGGCTCGGCAGATCTCGCTGCTCGCCTTCAGAAGCTCCATGCGGCTGTAGCCCCGGCCAGACTGGTGCTGCAACAGAAGCGGCGGCGTCAAGCGGCTGTGTCAGTTGTCTGCGTCCGGGGGAAGCGTCAGACGGTTTGTCATGCAGCTATGCCAGATGGCTGTGTCAGGTGTTTGTGTTAGGTGTGCCAGGTTCTGTCAGGAGGCTATGTCAGGCTGCAGTGTCAGGCGGCGATGACAGGCGACGATGACAAATGGCGGTGTCAGGCACATATGCCAAGCGGCTGTGTCAGGGGTTTGTGTTAGGTATGTCAGGTGTCTGTCAAGAGGTCATGTTAGGCTTCAGTGTCAGGTTGCAGTGCCGGGCTGCGATGACAGGCGGCGGTGTCTCAGACGGTGGCAGGCGGATTTGTCAGGTGGCTGTGTCAGGTGGCTGTGTCAGGCAGCGGCATAAGACGGCTGCGTCAGGTGGCTGCATCAGGCGGTTGCATCAGGTGCCTGTGTCAGGTGGTGGCATCAGGACGCTGTGTCAGGTCAGGCGCAGTGCAGGTCAGTCATGCCAGGCTCCCGTGCCACGCGGCTCCCGTCAGCTGGCCGTGCCAGGCTCCCGTGACGGACGGGTGCGCCAGCTGACCGTGGTAGCGGAAGTGTCAGGTAGCTGTGCTGAGTGACCCCGTCGGGTGGCTGTTCAAATGGCTGTGCTACGTGTCAGGAGGCCGGGTCAGGAGCCCGTGTCAGGAGGCTGTACCAGAGGGTGGCACAAGACTCACAGGCTGGGTGGTCTCGAGCAGGGATGTCTGGCGGATAGACTGTTCTTTGAAGTACGCTCAAAACACAGTGAAAAACGCTCCTGATCATAAGAGGCGGTCTCGGGGCCTCGGTAAAAAAGGTGGGTCTCGGCACCTTATCATTTCTGGCCTCTCCGCCACTCCTGGACCTCATGTCATGTCATGTCATTGGGGCTTTACGACGCACTCAGCTGCTGAGGCTATATGGCGTCGCCCACCTCTCACCCTGGCGGGAAGGGCAGGCACCCCGGGGCTCCTGGACCTCAAGAGGTTACACGCGCTATCTTGTCATCAAAGATCTTGAAGCCATTCGATGTCTCGTGTTTACAGAACAGTGACAACAGCAAGCTGCCGTGGGAAAACTGTGCAACCATAAGGTTATCAGAACTGACTTAAAAAAGGATATGGTAGGGTTCACGTAATGTTCTGTGGTGTAATAAAAAATTATTTGAGTCACTAAATGTCTCATGCGTTCAACTTCTCGGTGGTGGGTATCTTTCGACACTGCCCTTCATACGTCAGAGCGATAAACCCGAGCCGGGGTCAGGCCAATCACACATCGCAAGCGGGCGCACGGTAATGCACGTCTGTCAGTCTTCTATGCCGTCTGATAGATTGCTAGCATTGATTGCCTGTATATCATGATGCTTCAATAAGTTGGAGTTTGACCAAGTGCTACAAAGTAAGGCTATTCAACATTGAGATAGCTCAAACATGCCTAGTGAATGCATTTTACGTGAATAGTTTTAACCTTCTCAAATATCGTTCACGCACAGTTACCAGGTGGCTTTAATTTGACGAACGTGTTGGGTGGACTTTGATGAACCCTTTAAACCTTCGATTTCACCGTTATTAAGCGCGCTTAGTTCTTGAAGCAACGGGGTGGCGCCCATGGCCTGACCTGTATGACCTTACCTAACTTGCCACAGGTCACCCCCACTGATGCTTCATAACAGAAGCCTGATACAGTTTCACGCGATCTATCCGCTGCCGCTTGCCTCCGGGGTTGAGGTTTTCAATCAAGCCGCTGAGAGGTCCCCGAAAGCCTCGACCAGCGGAGATGAGAAAAACGCCAACCCGACGAGGATTGACGGCAGTTATTCACGAGCATTCGTTCATTTGTCGGCGCGTCACAATTCTCACATTTACTTGCAAAGACCGCGTGCCAGCTGTATCGTTGGGCCGCCGCGAAAGCTTAGTCACCACCGCTCTTCCGCAGCGAGCGTCGTCGCTCCGGTCATTCCCAGAGGAGCGGAACGAAGCCCGCTTCCACGCATGACTCAACGAACTTCCCAGAGGCGTGGCGCGAACCCCAGGCCGGCCTGATCCGGCCTGTGGCCCGGGGCGACGCCAGCTCAAATCGATAGACGGGCAGCCCGAGCGTCCGGACCACGGTCCTCCGTCCCAACAGACGCGTCGGTGGGGCTTTTGGACCGGGACCAGCCGGACGGGGCCGCCGAGAAGCCAGTGGGCTGGCCGGGACGCACACCTACGCCGCGTGACTCAGGGTCATCATGTGACGACAGCTTCCAGGCGCGTTCACAGCGTGACTCAGCAGTTCTGTATAAATTATTCGTCGACGGAACCACGCCAGCTTTCTGCAACTGGGCAGTTTGGAGCATATGATCGTCGCTGTCTGCCGGCGCTAGTCACCAGAATTTCCATTCCCACTCTGTGTCCATGCATACTGCATAACCAGCCGCCTGCCGCTGCGCCCGAGGGCTTTCAGACGTCGCGGCACCAGCGCGAGCGCTGGGCTAGGCCGCACCTGAGCCCCACACGTGGCTGCCTGCGGCCTTTGTGCGCTCCGGCATGAACCGGCACGTGGGTGGCCGTCGGCTCGCACACACGTGCCGGCCTGGGATTGATCCGCGCCCGTCGAGGCGCAGAACAGGGAGGAGCCGACCGAGCGCGGGCTCGCGCCTTCGACGGCCCCGCTGGCGGCGGAGGAGGGCCGGCGGCGAGAGCTCTGACCGCCAGGGAGCGGGGGAAGGGCACGTCAGCAGTCAGAGGAGTGCGGTGCCAGTCGGCGACCAGACCGCTGGGGGCAGTGGACGGGAGAGGGGAGGTCGACCGGGGTCCTGTCCAGGTCACGGCGCGGCGTGAATCACCGTCGGACTTGAGGCTCAAGCTGAAAGCGCCCGCTGAATGTTCATCGTATTCTTGCCATTGAACATCTTGTATTGTCATCGCCTTTTTAAGTCTACCTCGGGTTCCAGAGGGCAATGGTACATACTTTTGATGGCATTATCTTTCTTTCAAATGGACAGCCTGTTACCGACCGACCGTCGCGTAAGGCAGCATCTATTGCTATCAAGAGATGCTTGCAAAATGGCTGTGCGGAAAAGGCGTGGGCATGCATGGTCCTTGAGGCACTAAAACAACAGCAACAATATCCATGAAATGGACAGACGCTCTTCTTCAGAATAACAGAAGCACTCCAATCGACCTCGGCGCTTTGCCCCAATTATGAGGTATCGCTAGCTAATACGCTCAAGTTAACGAAGCACGCGCAACCAAAAATCTCCCTCTGCTAGGCCGCAAGGAGCTTGTATCATTATGGACTTCGGAGCAGTCTGGATCTGTCTTGCTGTGAGAAGGCAGTTTAGCGTTAAATTTAAGCCGCATCCACGCACCACTCCCATCCACGGCGTCTTTCAGAGGCTGGCCATATGCTTCGCCAGCCGAGGTCAGGTACGGCCCGCTGCTCCAGCGGGTAGGTCACCACCCTTCGCTGCTCTCAACGGGCTCTGGGTCTGGGCTCCGTGAAAGGTCACGGAGGAGTCCGTCTCTGACAAGTGGCAAAATCTCTTTACGTGCCCGTTCCCGCTGTCCGACGAGGGGTAACGGAACGGCTGGGCCGGTACCCGAGTCGGTCTCACAATGTGATCTTTCATGCCAGGTGGGCAAATGAGAGCGAGGGAGGAAGGAGCTTTGTCAATGGCTGCTCCAACAGTCTGATGGGTTACAAAATCAGGTAATATGGGGTGATGAACAATGATGTGTTCAAACCAGGCACCAAATAAGCAAACTGCGCGATACCGAGCTCCTCTTGACCAAGAAGTGGATGTGGAGTGTAAAGTTCAGGGAAGGCAGAAGGTAGTGGATGTGGAGTGTTAAGTTCAGGGAGGGCAAGAGATCATGTGCAAGGCGAAGGTTATCCAAGAGAGGGTACTCATCCACTGGTTTGAACCAATAATCCAAGTGAACGGTGACACCTACCTGAGAATGTTGAGGGCGGTGATGTGGTCCCATTTAACCATGCCCACGCCAATATGTCCAACGGGTGTGTGTAAGTGCTGCTTGTTTCGCAAAGCCGTTTCCACGCGAGACGCCTGCCGCCGACATGGCGCCGCACTGCGCTATCACGTCATGGGGTCTGCTGGAATTCCAGCGTGGAAAACCGTGCTTAAATGTTTGAGGCATGACACCAATAACTAGAACATGACCAACTATTTCCCAGAAGGACACGTTACTTTAGTCGAAGAGCGTACGCATCATGCTCCTTACGAGCAAATAAAAAACAGTTCCTTCTGAAACATCCCCTAAAATGAGGTTCTCGTCGACCCCGCGGACTTACTTTGGAATCGAGCCCTTGTGTGCAATCTCCGGGACGCACTGGGCAGGGTGGCCCAGTCGCCAGGTGCGTGAGATCGATACGCCGGCGGCGGCCGGGGCCGCCACGGCGGGCCGGGCTTGGCGGGCGGACCGGGCGGGGGCGGCCGCGCCACACGAGGCGCCGGCCGGGACTTGTACTGACTGATACAGCCACGGAGGCGGAGTCTCGCCGCCGCTGATTGCGACGGCGCCGCGATACAGACGGCCTTTCCGGCTGGACTCTGGCTGGTGGCCAGACGTGAGGGGTCGCCCCCTCCCCCTCTCCCGCCCCTGAAGCTGGCGTCTGACGTGCTGGCGGGGCCCGACAACCCCCCCCCCCCCTCCGACAGTGCCGGACGGCTGCACGCTGCGGCGTCGGCGGCCCGCGGGCGCGACTCGGTGGTCCGTGCACAGGCCCCGCCCACGTCTGGCACCGTGCCCGGTAACATGAATGAACAGCCGGGCTGCCCGAAGGTCACCGGGTCGTCGGGTTACCGTCCGACCGCGAGGGGGCGGGGTAGTGGGAGGGCTGTGGCGCTTGTCGGCGTCCGCCTGATCACAGGGAACACGTGGTGGCCTTCCGCGGGGACCAGTCACGCGCCGGGCGACCAGATACGGGTCAGCAGGGACGCGGACACCCGAAGTAGGTCACGACCGCTTCCAGCGGCGGCGGCGGCGGCGGCAGCGGCGACTGACTGAATGCACCCGCCCACCAGCGTGGCGACACACCTATAGCCCGCGTATCAACGAAACTTGGATTCGGGCTTAGCGGCTGACGAACTTGCAGTCGTCCGACTGGTCGGAAGCGGTGGGAAGGTGTGTGTTCCCACCGCTTTGGTGCCGCCGTGCAGTCCGCTGAACAAGCGGTGCACAGTTTCCTGCTGCCGTTTCGTGATCGCTGCACTCGTCGGACATGAGGACCACCGTCTCAAAATTTGGGCTCGCTGTGATTAGAAAGATGCACGCCTGTTGAAAATCCGACCAGCGACATATATGTGTTGGGGTTGGAGGTCTAACGTGCGGTATTTGGCGCTTTTCGCTACGACAACGCTATACTTTCCACGGTGTTGTATGGTGTTTCATGGCGTTCATGGTGCTGATGTGTATCAATGGCAAGTATAGCGTGTTGTCCAATGGCTGAGGTTCTCAATAAAATATCTCCGTTTTAGGAATCAAGTGTGGGTTTTGGCAAGAGCGTGATTGCGCTTTAAACACTATCAGTCATTGTTCTGTGCACGACTCAAAAAAAAATGGCTACCGCCGATGCATTCGGCGGTAGCGCCCTGCTGGTCCCACCCTGCGACCTGCGACGACAAAACTATTGGCATAGCTGCTAGAAAACCGACGCATGAGTGAAACGTCCTGACCTCTTAATAGGGGCGTAGTTTTCCAAAATACGTTGAAGGGGTGGGGCTGAGCAGTGGAAACTGACGAAGCCCACCCACAAGGTTCATTTGATTCTGAAAGCTTGGGGAAGGGGGCTGAAGCCCAAGTTGGGGTTCGCCAACTGAACAAGAAATTGCACCCCTGCCTCTTGCCAGTTTCACACGTACTACCCTTGCAAGGTGTCCCCAAACGGTGAGATGTGTGAAATACATCTGGCTTCCTTTTCCCTCGTCATTATATGCCACGTGCAGCCCCAACCATCGTCTCCCATCGGTGGCCTGAACCAACTAAGACTGCACGCCGGAGCTGTAGAATGCAGCCCCAACCATCGCCTCCCATCGGTGGCCTGAACCAACTAAGACTGCACGCCGGAGCTGTAGAATGCAGTCCCAACCATCGTCTCCCATCGGTGGCCTGAACCAACTAAGACTGCACGCCGGAGCTGTAGAAGCCCTGGACTTTTCACTTGGGAGCTTCCGCACCTGGTGTCATTGCTCAATATTACCGTACATGACTGGGACATAGGAGACAGCCATGCTTCGACGTACATGGGCGTTGTACGCAGGTCGGCAAAAGTGGCATTCTGTTGAACCCCGGTTATAAGCTAAATATACTTTGCGCACATAAAGGGGTCAACGTCTCTATTCCAGTTTAATAAATCAGTTGTAACCATCTTGGTGTTCTCATGTCCAACTGGATAGAGATGCCTCAAAGTTGTCTTTTACAGCGCAAGAGTGCCCCACAGGAGTTTTATTGCCACAGAGGTGTCATCTCCGCGCGTTTCGATCCCAAAATATACTGCTAAGGACTTTCTTAAATTAAATGAATATAGAGCAAACGTTCTTATTTCACTCAAAACCTCACAACGTTATTTATTCAAACCCCAGAATAACATGCAGCTCCAAGCCTGAGTTTTTTCTGAGCCTTTCCTTTTAACCCCGCGAAAGTTAGGTATCACAAGCACGGTAGTGCTCCGCAAAAGAACAAAACTTCAATATTCCTCTGGGCCCTGAGACTTCAAACGGTGCGAGCTAATGCTCTTGGCTTTGGCTCGAGGCACCACTTGTCACTATCTCGGCGTCGATTCACAACGCTGCTATCTGGGTATCATGGTCCGCAGCATCTCACATTATTGTTAGATTGCAATGTCATCTGGTTACTCTCGGCAAACTGCATGATCAGAGGGTCAAGTGCTCGCATGGGTGGGTATTTCAGACGGAGATCGAGAGACGTACGCAAATAAATCACCCGACGCCCAAATGTACTTGCGCTACGACCATGGAATGACGCTTCTAAAGCATGCCAAGCTCGAAGAACAGCTCATTTGCTCAAGTGACATTGGAATGCTTGCTGAGTACAGCTTGTTACATAAGCACCGATTTCGCCGCTTAAGTAGCCAAGATCGCGGATAATGATTCCTCAGGCCCTCAGCTAAATAACGCAGAGGGATCTTACTGTGTCATGCGATGTCACGCCACGGTCAGCTGCGCTGCATGTGCTCCCCTCCTTGACGGAAAACGCGGTTATTTGGCCTATCAAAGGCTTCTGTGTGACCGTTAGAGTGGCGACAGGCTAGAAACTCTATTCACCTCACTCTACTCAGCATCCGGCCCAACATATTCTATCCAACTCTACCTCAGCAGCCATATTGGCTGAGGGTCACCGGAAGGGTATTATGGCTCGTATTGCGCGATTATTCTGTTTTAATGGATGGAGTAGGCTTATTCGCTAAGTTATAATTCAAGGCTCCCAGTAACGAGCCTCGTTTCAAAGTGGCTTCCGCCGCTGGAGACGGAACCAGGGCCGGGCGCTCAGTATGAGCAGACCTCAAGCGCCGGGGGCCCCGCGCCACGGAGAGAGCGGCTTGGCCCGGCTTTCGCCCCGATCTGGTGCTGGCGGGCCCGCCTGGCCGGCCAGCCGGCCAGCCGGGCGGGCTGGGGACACCGGGGGTGCCGGGGACAGGCCCGCCTGGCCGGCCAGCCGGGAGGGCCGGGGGCGCCGCGGGCGCCGGGGACAGGCCCGCCTGGCCGGCCAGCCGGGCGGGCCGGGCGGGCCGGGCGGGCCAGGGGCGCCGAGGACAGACCCACCTGGCCGGCCAGCCGGGCGGGCCGGGGGCGCCGCGGACAGGCCCGCCTGGCCGGCCAGCCGAGCGGGCCGGGGGCGCCGCGGACAGGCCTGGTGGCACGCGGCACAGCTGGCCGGCAGCCGGCCGGAGCCTGCGCCCGACTCAGGCGAACCCCACGGCCAGCTGGCGACAGCGCTGGTGCACGGTGCGGGGGCGCTCGCGAAACCGGACTCGGCCGGTGGTAGGCGGTATCCAACGGCAGCGCAGTTGTTCGTGTGGGATCGCGTCCGCTCTGTCGGTTCGTTGAGAGAAGCATCGCCACAGCTCGGCAAGATCATGCGGTGAGACCGAAGTCGGCGATAACCAGTCTCCGAGCATCCAACAGAACGATTAAAGCAGATGTTTTCTAACACACTGCGAGGTGTCCCCGGAGTTTTGTCGCCCAGTTCGCCACGTACGCAGACAGGGATGTGCCTGCACGAGCACGACGAAGCCCACCATCATTTCGCACAAATACCCTCCAAAAATCGCACATCAATAATAAGAACATTATTGAGGGGTTAAAGGACCACCCTCGTCAGGAGAACTCGCTCCCGGTCGGCTGTCCCTGTCTCGAGAGCACAGCATCGGGGCCTGGCCGTGCATACTCACGACTTGAGCCGTGTTGAGGTCGCCGGAGCACATTTAGGGGAAATGAGAGCTATTCGCCAAACGCGCGACAGGCGTTCACCCCTCGACAGCGGCTCACGAACTGGGACGGGCCGGCCAGGCCGGGCCGGAGTGCCCGCTGGCAGCCAGCCAGTATCGACCGGCCGTCGCGGACCCCGCGCGGACCGCAGTCAGCTGAGCAGGCCGACACGATGACGTCATTGGGAAAAGAACGGGAAGTGAGGGAATGTGGACAAGGTTGCCGACTGGTTGTGATGGTGGGCTGTTACGCCCTGGTAATGGCGTATTTTTAATTGGAATTCAGCAGACAATTCTGCTCTCTTGGTTCATTTTGAAGAACGTAAGACAGGATGGCACCGAGAACGGCAAATTACGTCATTGTTGCGAGCACATGGTGGTCGATGTTTCTGTGGATGTGTCCGCTCAAGACCAGAGCTTGAATCACGTTGTGCAATCGTGTCTTTTCGCGACGTTGCCCGAATTGCGTCAGCTTACCTCACCGTTGGGTCAGGACGTATATGTGTGTGTGTGTGTGCGTGTGCGTGTGATTAGGCCTTACCACGCATTCAGATGCTGGGACTCTGCTCAGTCTATATGGCGTCGCTTTAGACCAGGCCCCTGTGATATGCTGCCAACAGAGCCGATGCACATGAGTGGGCGGTGAAGTGCACTACCTAGAAACATCAAAACGTGTGTCGCAGGGTGGCGCAACGGGGCTACGCGATAACTCTTCGGGCGTGGGTGGTGGCGGGCCTGTGATATGTTGGGCGAGCGGCTCATTACATATGAACCTTGAATGCCTTTTGACACAACGTTTTCTTTTCTCTGTACCGTTACCCAAGAACAGATAACCAGGAGTGCTCCTCCCTGTATCCCAGCGACGCAATGAACCGTACGTTAACACGTGCCCGGGTGGCCGGTTGGATGCCCTTCGCTCGAGAAGGGGATTCATTTGACCCCCTGAGATCTCGGGAACTAAGAGAGCTAGAGACAATAAAATTACAGGATGTGTTGGTCTGTATGTGAATTCACTTAGGCCGAATTTTGAGGTTCCTAGGTCATGGCTTTCGAGTCAAATAAGTTCAAATGAGTTCAAACTCTAGATTGGTCCCCAGAGTGCCCCCAGAACCTAGCTAACTGTTCTAGGCAAAAGGTCATATGCTCATTTAAGGTCGGTGAGCTTGTTTGACCCTTTAGAAGTTATGGTGACCAAAATCACACAAAACTGCTTTGAGTTTTGTATTTCAATAGATATAGCGCTAGGACAAAGTAGCGACAAAGATAACGCTAGGCGGCATGTCTCTGAAAAGAAGATGTTGACCTCGGTCATGTCAGGTTGGTAACCTTTACTGACCTTTAAGAAGATCATGGAAGATATGTAATGCGGTTTCCGTTATCGATGAATTCGAAATAAGAACCAGACACTATTCCATACAGTAATACCTTCATACCTGATCGTTGGTCAATGGAATTTCTGCATTCAATTGTTGTGTTGCCTAAGAAAGTATCTCAAAAATGTATGGCCCCGTCTAACGCTGCGTTGTTGCAGATTACCAACACAGGTTGAACGATTCCCTAGAAAGTGGCCTCGCTGAATCAATGGCCTGACTTTGACCTGCCATAGGTCACCGCCCTTACAAGCTACATCTAAATTTGTTATGCCAAATGATCCGCTATTCAATTTTCTACAGCTATGTAAGATTTGGCGTGGCTACGCTGTGCTATTCGGAAACCATTTTGGAAAAAAATCGGAGGGAGGGCAATTTGACCCCCACCCGGGCGCGTGCTAACACAAGAAAACATAAAAACAAGTCGCGGCAACCCCAGATAAGAAAAAGAAACAAACATAAAGAAGCAGGTGAAGAGGTGGTGCAAACCCGGCAGGAATAGTGTCACGCAATAGGTAAGAACAAATCATACATGAGAAGGTTTAAATTATTCGCAGCAAAAGTCAGCTAATGACAGCCCGCTAAAACCACCCAATAAACTACTACCACACATTCACGGTGTCAGTAAAGGTTGTCAGGCCTATAAGCCGGAGCAGGAATTACTTGGTCATTTCATTTTTAGTTTTTAGCTGTATCTTCAGGGAGTCCACCCAGCTAAGCGGAGCTTGCTGCTGGAAGCACTCCCGGAGCCAGCGCCACGAATTTAGGTACAAGTGTATTAGTGTGGCTGTGGAAGAACGTGATTATGGAGCATGAAGAATATTAAGTATGGATTGAGTTACATACCAAACGGGACAAAAAAATGCAATATTTCAAATGCGTTGGTCACGTTAAGATGTGTTTGCAAAATGCTTACGAACAATGTTCTTAACGATGGTTTTAATCCAGGATATCAGCAATTCTTGGGAAATGTGGTATCATAATATTGCTCCACAGCTTAGGGCCAACGCAAGATGCTGTAAATAACCTTCAAATACGATTAGATATTGGTTTATCTAAATATTTTTCTCGCCTCCTATGCTTTTCATTTGATTCGTAGAGCTTGTATATTGAAGGCAAATAAAGGAGGAAGCTGTGAAGTTTAAAAGTTGCGCATCACAATTCACATCTAGGAGTGAGCAATACCCGATAAACGCAAAAGTTTGCACCGTTCAAAATCGGTTCTGAGCTTTTAAACGTGCATTTAAATCATTTTGAGCCTCGGCAATATTTAAGCCTGTCCTATAGAAAGGGCTTTGCGTTTCACAGAAACGCGAAGCCCTTTCTTCTGTTTCTGGTTGAGAAGCGTAAGTAACATCCCAAATGGGACAGCAATAATTCAAACAAAGAGGAATTGGAGTGTTATAGAGCAGATGTGATGTTCCACCAATAAAGTACCTAATCCTACTTTTAATTCAATATTTATATTTAATATATTTGCAACGAAAATAATGTGCGGCGTAAATCTAAGAGGTTCGTCAAAGAGCACACCAAGGTGTCCGGCCTGTTTTTCTCCTCATTGATGAATTGCTGGTTTGTACATTAAGTTAGAAATGCGAGAAAGGGCTGTATAATGCTGCATAAAGGTTCTAGATATCTTGGGTGGAAAAGGTGGGACTGATCAGAAAGCCATTATAAGGAAACGTGCATTTTAATTGTTTTGAAGCTCGACAAAACTTTCCATATTAAACTTATCACGTCTTCTAATGATGAAAGATTATTCCTGATTTTGGCACATTGAGCTCTGCTACACAAATAAGAAAAAGGGATTCCATAAGATTTTTTTCCGATACCAAATTTATGAATTTTACGTAGAAGAACGCTTTGTTAAATATATGAAATGCTTTTTGCAAATCTTTTTGCAAAGCTCTCCTTGGAATTACCAACATTTGTAATGCATTGATCACCATGGTACTTCTTCTTGGTTCGTTTAAGCGATGTAGTAAGGACCAGCCGCCTGGTGCTCCTGGCCTTGACCTGTCTGCTCGTACCGGCTGCGGCGCCAGCACCATTGCTACCACCCCGACTCGGACCTGCACCATTGCTACCACCCCGACTCGGACCTGCACCATTGCTACCACCCCGACTCGGACCCGCACCATCGCCAGAGGTGCTGTCCTGTAGCGACCCCCAGCCGCCGGCCCTGTCGACACGCTGGCCGATCTCGAGGTGACCTCGTCCTGCACCCCGGCCACGGTGACCTTGACCGTGACCGATCTGCGGCCGCTCGCGCTGCCTAGCACGGCAGGCGCGGTGCCGGCACCAGGCGCCGGGGCTGCAGGGGCAGATAGGCATGACGGCACTCTTCTCCAGACGGTTGTCATTGGAACCTGCTGGTGGGACCAGTCAACAGCCAGTCCCTGCTGCCGAAGACAGCGCCATTGCATCAGGACCATCTAAACCGGCTGCATTATGACTTTTGCGTGATCAACGAGACGTGGCTTCAGTCCGCCATTGCGTCCAGGTTAGCCACAGTCCCCTGGCTATACACTGTACCGTTGCAGACCGGCGAGAAAAGGTCGGCTGCACCGCAAGGGTATTTTACATTATACTTTTTTATATTTTTGTTTTATTTTACACCGGACCAATCACCATCATGGCTGATTTAAATAGTAATTTACTGGACTCTGCGAGTAACGTTGGAAAGGGCCGGTTCAATGAAACGCTTCGATCGTTTCATACGCAACAGCTTGTCAGACAGTTCACTTTTTCCTCTAGATCGCCTTCAGACGTGGTCATCTCTAATCTAGACAACGTCTTTCAGCGTGTTGGAGCTTTTAACTGCGCTTTTGGCCCTCACCATTTTGTTAGCACGCTTTTAGTTTTGTCAAAGTGTCGTTTTAAAGGGAATGCTCCACAATGGAAAATATTGAAGCATGATATATGACGAAACATGCTCACTTGTAACTGTTGGTATGCTTTTAAGCGGAAAAGACCGTTCTAGACAACACCATTTCTGTATTTAGTAACTATGCCTTCCAATACGTCATTGTTCCATTGTGTCATCGCATCTTGCATTATATTGACTGGAAGTCGATTGACGGCCATTATATCTGGAAATCGGCTCAGGAACGCCAGGTATGAGCGACTCGGCAATTACACTTTCATTGGCCTTTTGATCGTGGCATAGGCAATGTACCGGCAGGACTCCAATGACGTTATTATGACGTCATAAATTCCTTCACAGTCTGCACATCTTCGCGGACGTGTAGCTCAGAATCTGGACGGGTTTAGTTCATAAAAGAGCAAGGCTGTGAACTGCACCGGATGATTTCCTAAATGGCTATTTCAGTTTAAAACCCTATACAAATGGGGAACATGCCCTTTCAGCCTGTCCGCATTTGTACTCCACTGTTGATACATATCGGCCATGTTTGCTCACTTCGTGACTTGTGCTTTGTTGACTGGTCTGGTGTTTTTAGTCGTCTATTAGTCATTGATATGTGGTCCCGTCTGCTTGACTGTATTCTACAAATCGCTGACAAACACACTGCGATCGAACTAATATCAGTGAAGAAGCCGGGCGCACCCGCTGACACCGCAGTGACTCTTTACCTTATGGTAAAGCGGAGGGGCGTGTTGCGTGCGAAGGGCGATCGCTGCCTCGCCGCGAGCCGGACCGGAGGATAAGGTCGGCGGTCAGGCATGACTGCTGGGCAGATAGAAAGGACAGACTGCGTGAGTAGGGGAGCAGTTCTCTGTACTGCATTTTCCAACCACTGTTAGCGGGAAAAAGAGCAGCACCCGCAATCTCTCTGCCGTCACCCTGGACGAGATGAATACCTATTTTGCCAATGTCGGCCCCCGCGTTGCAACTAGCCTGGTCGTTCTTGAGCAGCCACCTGACGTCCCTTGCCGCCTGCCCAGGGTGAGTGCGTGCGGTTTCCGGGCGACCGGCACGGCGCTGCGTGGGCCGTATGAGGTCGCGTTCTCCATGACGCGTTTTGGGGCGTGAGAGCCTGACAATATTTGCATTCTTATACTGCTCCTGTGTTTTGACGCCATCGACCCTATCATTCTCCGTATTATCAACATCGGCCTCAACTTCTGCGATTTTCCCGATTTCTGGAGGCACTTCCCGGCTGATTCTATTTTTAAATTCGGCAATCCAGCCCTGGTCTCCAATTACCATCTATTTTCGTCGCCCCTTCAATAGCCGAGATTGCAGTGCAGCGACAGGCATGGGTGTCGATTTCCCATGATGACTGGGACCGAAGTCGTCGAAGTTGACAAAAGGGGATATGTACGAAAGCCTTCCTGGATTTCGTCCACTTATTTTCTGATTATTCCTCTCTCTCTCTCTTCTCTCTCCTCTCTCCTCTCTCCTGCCTCTCTCTCTCTCTCCTCTCTCTCTCTCTCTCCTCATCCTCTCCTCCTCTCCCTCCTCCTATCTCTCATCTCTCTCTCATCTTCTCCTCTCTCTCTCTCTCATCTCTCTCTCTCTCTCTCTCACCTCCTCTCATCTACCCCCTCTCGCTCTCCGTCTCTCTCTCC